GTTATGATGTAGTCATCTAATTCATCTTGCCTAATGTTCCTGCCCTCTCTAGCCTGTTCTTCACTCTGCTGCCAGGGTTTTTTTTTTTTTTTTTAAATAAAATATATGACAGTATTTAAAATACCTTAGTGATCCCCTTATTGAGCAGAAGATAAATTTTAACTTCTATTGCAAATGAGGAAAGAGACTTAATTGAAGCCACAAACTGCTACTCTCACTTAGCTCCAGTTGCTCCACTTTTTTTTTCCATGCTTTAGCCATGAAATTATTTGTCATTCCCTAGACATTATTCCTGCTCATTGAAGTCTCCTTGCCTTTAAAATGTTGTTCCCTATGTCTGTAATGTTTTTTCTCTTCTTTGCCCGGTATACTCAATGCAAATACTACTTTTTTTCTGAAACATTCTTGACTTCTCCTGTTGCCAGTCATAGTTACACACATAGTTTGAATCCCTGCTTTATGGCATCAACGTTTCTGAGCTATACTTTCCTCATTATACCTGTTCCCCAGGCAGGTTGTGAAGAGATGAGATAGCATGTTATATACATAATGCGTGACACAAAGTAAATGCAAAATAAATGTGTTTCTATTATTTCTACTTTAGCGTTCTTAACGCTTCATTTTCTACTTGCCATAAAAAGTTACTGGAATACTTATAATTTAGTCTATGTGTGCTTGTTTGAGTAACGTGAGTTTCTGAATGTAAAGTTAGAGAGAGAAGCTTGGGTTTAGTTTGTCCCTGAATTTCATTATTTCCAAAAAGTTGTTACAAATATTACCAGCATCGATAATACATTTAGCAATCCTCATAAGAAATTTACTAATTAAAATTCATATCCCAAATAGCTAATTAAATCATAAGCTCTCTAAGCCCCTTCATCTTCCACGAGTAAATTTTGTAGGTCTTAGGTTGCTTTGTTATATCTGCCGCTTTGAAGTCCTGGATACTAGCAAGCCTAAAAACCAGGACACATGACTTTATGAATGTTACAGTTAAATGTAAGTCACTTGATACTTTCTGAAAATCACTGGTACTTTTCTAGGCTGAGAATTTATCATTTTGATGAGTTTGGGCCAGCAATGTTGACTATAGCAACAACAATTCTGAAGAGACACTCTGAATTGGCTACCCATTTTCAGGATTCTAACATATTTATGCAAATTTTGGGAAAAGTCATTATTTAGCAAGGACTGAGCACTTCATTCCATGGCTTTATGTGCCATTGGTATACATTAATAGAAATGTAGGCTATTATATGGAACAGACATTAGAGATTATCCATCCCAGATCTATAATTTACAGATAAGAAAACAAAGACTCATGGAGGTTATGGTCAAATGCAGAACCTAACACAGGTCTTCCTGAGGATTAGTGTATAGCAACAACTAGAATCAAGGGTGCATTAAATCTCAGTTCTGAGATTTCCCCATCTACAAGGAAATGCCTCAGTTCCAAGATATTTTAACCCATGTCACAGGTGTCAGCACAAGGCAATGAAAATACGCCAAAAAAAAGTCGAAGAGGGTGGAGAAAGTTACACTAGTTTTGAAATTACACTAGATGTAAAATAAAAATGTTAAAAAGTGACTTGACACCAGTGAACAAATTTGACTGACTAACTAGTTTTAGGAGTTATGACTTTTATACTAAGAATAATAGATGAGACATATCATCATATTGCTTGAGTTTCTCATGCTACATCATATCTTTCGATCAAAATATCCATTTCATTTTAAATTTTGAATATAACAAAATTTTCCTAGGCATTTGAGTATTGACAGTTTTATCAGAACAACTTTTGTTTAACCCCTTAAATTTAAAAAGTTTGTTTTATTTGTAAGATATGTTTTTTAACCTCTTAGAACCATTTCCCAAGATAGAAATTGTAGTGGATTTTTTAATAAAAGTAATTAGAAACAATAATTCATTTACCAGAAACTAAATTGAGGTGGAGCTTGCAGTAGAAATGGGAAACCCAAATGTCTGCATATTCTGTTAAGCATGAGGGGACACTGAATATAGTAATTTATTGGTGGGAACTCTGGCCTCCAGTAGGATTCTACTGTCTTGCATTTGACAGTTTCAAAAATATCCTATACTCTAATGCTTTAAAAACACAATGCAAAAGAGGAATGACCAGTAACAGACACTGGTAGATCAGGATAATATGACAAATTGGATGAACTGACAGGCAGGTGGTGAATAATTTTAACATGACCCTAAAAACAGTGGAAGGGTGTTTGCACATTGCCACTTCTCTAAAGGCAGATGGATATGCATGACCTGAGTTTTTAGACAAGTGTCAGGAATATTGATGGGTAGTACGAGGATGATCATTTTCTTGGCAATGTTGCAGTAGACAGTTTGCATGATTAATGATGCAGCTTAGTCTTTTTTTTTTCTCCTGGGGCAGAAAGGGATATGAACCTTTGTCACTCCAAGGAATGTAAGAATTTTGCCTGAAGGGTAAGGCAGCAGAACTTTAGACACCTAAAAGCACCATATGCTTTCTACTGGTGAAGAAATAGTAGTAAAATGTACAAGTGTTCTTGATATATAAGATGACAGTGCCTGGTAGAATGATTATGACATGCCTCTTATTAAGAGGGGTCTACTCCAGCGCATAGGAACCTTTCACAGCTCTGAAGTACAGAGTGCAGTAAACCTGGGCTCTGACAAAACTGAGAGCAAACTGTGGCGCTGGGATACATCTGAACACATACGATGTTTGAAAGAATATTAAGAGCCACTCAAAGGAAACAGAACAAGATGAAAGCAGGAAATAAGAGGTGAGATCATCTGCCTAATGTTTATATTCATTTCAAGTTTTCCGAGACAATTTTCTGATTCAAATCAATTCAATATTGTTTCTAAATAGTGAACCTAGTAAGAAAGAACTTTTCTTTTCCAAGAATAATATTGTTTGCTCAGCTTTTTAAAATGTCACATATAGCAATGAATGAACTATGCTATTTCAAAGCTCAAAAATGTAATCCTAAGCTGAATAATAGTTTGTAGATGTATTCTGCTAAACCCCTAGTAGTCCATCTTCCGAAAATATTATGTTAATTAAAGGTAATATAAACTATGGAGGCAAACTTCATAGTGTTTTTTCTTTTATTTTGCTTTGTAAAGTAATAAAGGGTACTCTTGGAAATCAAGTCCAGTGAAAAATTTTGTTAATTAAAAAAAACAAATTTCATTTTTATACAAGGGGTATTAGCTAATGGATTAGGTGATCAAGAAAACTTAGAAAATCTGTTTTTCCAAAGTTAATCTAAATTTCTTAAAAGAAATTTAAAAACAGGATAAATGCTCATTTATATGAGGGGAGGGGTTAGAATTTAATCTTCATGAACACCAGTGCCTATGTTGGTTATTTCCTTACTTTCTGTTTACCCAGAGAGAGAACAAGAGCTATAACTTCAAATCCTTCCTTTGATAATACTAGATTGACAAGAATCTCAATGAAATCCCTGAAATGAGGAAATGAAATGTAGGAATGATGGGGTTTGAAATATGCTCTTAACATTTTAAACTCATAAATTTAATTTGCATTACTATTACATTCAAACTATATAACAGATTTCTCTTCCATTGTGCTCACATTCTGAAACACTCTAAACATGTTGAGCCCAATAAACTCTTCTATTACTTAGAAACACATTAGGGGAGAGGAAAAAGCTCATTGTAATAATATGAACAGTTGCTCCAAACAGCCCTTACGCTTTTGGGAAATGGAGCTTGAATGAGATTTAAGCCAATCAGTGGGGAACATAACTGCTTGGAACATAGATTTGAAGCTCTCTCTATATATTAACATATATCAAAAAAAGAGTCCGTCATCCTTATCACCTAATTTTAAAAATATTACCCCGTTAACATACTGATACATAAAAATGGTAAAATAAAAAAGTAGAATTTAATACTCTTCAGTCTGAATTTTCTTAAGATTAGATTAAATTATGCTATCCAAATCAAACAATTACTTCTATCTAGAAAATACAAATTTGATGACAATATGAAAAACAGAATGAGGCATATCCATATCCTAAATCTTTGCCAATAACAATTCCTTACAACTTCATAGTGAGTTATGTCTCACAAAGGGCCTTCATAGCTGAAACACAGGAAAAAGGAAAAAAAAAAAAAGAGATATAGATACAATCTTTATTTTAAAGATTCTCAGAGAAGTTATATAACAATTATAAATTTAGCAGCTAGGTTTAGAATTTAGGTTTTTTGATAATTTGTCCCATGTATTTTTCACAAAACCAAAACATTTCATTAGAAACTAACAAATCACATATAGAATAACATTCACAAAATAGATGATAAATATATATTATTTAACGAATCTGTATCAGAGGGATTTACCTCAGTTTTTTATTAATGACTTTCAGCGTAAAACTAGTGAAGATAAAAAACAAATCAACTGTCCCACCTTTCAGAGATAAGTCTGTTTTCATAAGACATTGTAAGTTTTTTGAAACATTAACACAATTTATCAGACAATTTATTAACCAACTCCTCCTTCTTGGATATTTTTTCCCAGTAAAAAAGCAATAGTGCACATACTTTATGAATAGGCAGTAGTATAATCTAAGACAGAAAATAACATTGCTGCGAAAGTTATTCATTTATTTCAATACTAAAGTAATTACTGTAGCAAAGGCCTGCTCGTTTATCATTTCCGGTTGTCTTTGCTATTTTTTCAAGCTGTCGTTTTAAACAAATATCCTCATTGTCCTTGTTGGAAGACCAATAACTTTATTTCAGTAGGGAAGACAACACACCAACAAAGTAAGGTCTATTCCTGTTCCAAGGAGGGTCTGTGCTTGGGAAGCACCTAACTGTATTGCACATTCCTGTCCTTCCCAGAAGAATGTGACACAGTGTAGCTGTGTACTAAGTTGCCACTAAAGAACCTGTTCCAGTTCCCTATCTCCTTCAGCTATGAAAGTTTTCAGGGACACTTGAGTTCTAATGGCATACCAAGCATTTTGTTCCATGAACACAACAGTTTTAAGAATTGCCATTGAGTGTTTTAATAGAATTTAGCCAGTTGGTTTTAAATATATTTCTATGAGCCACGGTTTACAAAAATGTATAAAAAGGAAGTGCCCAGATGAAAAGAAGCTGTGAAATGGTTGCTGTTGCCTCCTTAAAAATCATCATTAAACAATCTTTCAAACAGTCAGTGATTTGTTCAGTAATTTAGTCAGAATTTGTAAGAAGTAGCTAAAATGAACAAAACGATGGCATGGCTTTGAACAGAAGCAAAGCAGGGACCCAAGTTATACAAATACTAGTTAGGAATACTGAATAAGATAAGTGATCCAATTATGTCTATGAGACTTTCCTCAATAATCTGTAACTAAAAGAAAAACAATTTCTTTAGCCAGATGAACTTTCATCATTCGAATAAGCCTTTGTAGAGACAGATATTGCCTCCTGTTTGTGAAACCTTACATTTCTATTTTGAGACAACTATCTTTCTTTCTAAAAGAAAGTGGGTAGGTGTGTGTGTTTGAAGCAGCAAGATGAAAAGAATCTTGGACTAAGCTGGTGATTTTCATACTGGGATTTTATCTCCTTTTGGGGAACAGGAGAATTGAGAAATGATTAGGCAGGCCAACTCTGGACTACACAATGCCACCTAACTTCTAGACCTCACCTAATATGTACTTCCCCCTAATCTCTAGCACCATAAAGCAGGATTTTAAACAGAACATGATTGGCATTCTGGCTGGATAATGTTGTTTTGTGCATTGCAGGATGTACAGTCCCATCTCTGACCTCCATCCATTGGATGCCAGCAGCACTTACCCCTGCCCCTTCTCCAGACAATCAAAACTGTCCCCAGACATTGCCAATGCCCCCTGAATGGGAGGTGGGAGGAAAGTGCAGAGGAGGAAGGTTGGTAGAGGGAAAATTGCTCCAGTTGAGAACTGCTGCCATAAAGTGATGATCAACAATTTTCCTGCAATGATGATTTCTGAACTAAAGCTATACACTTTGTGTAGACCTCGAAAGCTGGAAAGACAACATCATAATCTTATTTTCCTTTTTCTTTTTTTTTTTTTTAAACGCGGCCTCACTCTGTTACCCAGGCTGGTTGGATTGCAGTGGCATGATCTTGACTCACTGCAACCTTGGCCTCTGGGGCTCAAATGACCCTATCGCTTTAACCTCCTGAATAACTGGGCCTATAGGCACATGCCATCACACCCAACTAATTTTCGTGATTTTTGTAGAGACAGGGTTTTACCATGTTGCCCAGGCTGGTTTAATATTATTTTCAAACGTTACTGATGAGAAAACAGGTTCTGAGAGGCTAAGTAACTAAGTTTAGATGAATTAGAATAGAAATGAGACTAAGTCAAAAGTTCTGCATCCTACTCCAAGCTCTTTCTCCTATAAAATGCAATTTGTAAGTCATTTGCTCTAAAATCCAAATGAAATTAAAAATATGATTATCCATATCATTGGAGAATAGCCTTGTAGAGAATCCAAAACAACAGATAACACACATATAATTTCTAGGTGATTTTGGAATGAACTAAAATGAACCTATTCCAGTGGTATTATTTTCCTGATGATTATAATGATGATAATCATGATTATAATGAAGATGATAATGGTTTTCTTAGGATAACATTACAATTAGCTGTGTTTCCTGAGCACATATCAATTCATGGCTACGATGAACAGCTTGGAAGTATGCTAAGCTCCAGAAAACAACCAGCTTCATTATTAGAATATAGCACGGACAATCTACTTAGATACATAAGTGTTAATAATTGCCTATCACTCTTGATGGAATGTTATGCTTACTCTTGACTGTTTTGCATATAGAGACAATGTGGACACTTTATTTAAACTACCTTACAGATAAGTTTCCCTGGTCTGCCTGTTGGTTGTTTCTCATGCTTCTATAGCTATATTTCATTAAAAATCAGAAATCAAAAACACAGGCATATGTGCCAGCTATAGTGAATGGGTGAGTGGCTAGGGGTGTGGGGATGGCTCAGAGATTATTTCAAACAACAGGAAACTTCAACTTCCCTGGTGCTCTTTAGATAATAGAAAAGTAAATAGGAAAAAAATCCAGTGGTGCAAGATTTGTAGAATAATTTTGACAGTACATGGACAGCCAGTCTGCAGAAGTGAATTTGGATGTGTACTGCCTGAAGAAACACTGATCGCTTGTTGGTTTAAAGTCTATAGACTAATAACATGGTCTTTCTGGAATACTTAATTTCTAGAGGACAAATGGAGCTTGGTTTTAGTCTTCATTTTCTGAATACTTAAAATATTATTATTATTATTATTATTTTTAGCTAAACAGACATTTATTTTCATTAGTAAATGAAATTTTTAAAGACATACTCTTGGGAGGGAGTTTTCTAATGTATGACACACACAGCTTTCAACCTCAGAAAACATGAAAGAAAGATTAAAGGCAGAGGTTTTTTTTCTGTATGAAATATATTTTACAGGAACATTATGTAACACTAACAAACATTGATAATACATCAACAACTCTCTGCAGAAATACAAGATAATTAATACATTCATTCTGTCTGTGTTTTATCAAGTTAAACATTAACAGTGTCACCATAAAAGGCATTTGCTAGCATAAATGCTGATTTACCATAGGAAAAAAATTCATTTTTCTTTGTTATTGGCCAAAACTGTTTAAATTATATGTTAAAAAATGGCTTTCAAAGTGAACTTTGTGTACAAACATTTGCAGGTTTCCCATTGCAAAAGGACATACCAATCCAATAAGGACTGAGATATATACTAAAATGGTCATTTCTTGGGGGATATCAAGCTAGAGATCCCAGAGGGGCTCAGGCTTAAAGTCATGAAATGGCTTCTGTGAGACCAGCCCTCAGTTTTATCCTGATTAAATTTACTGTATCTGGGAAAATGGGTGAACTGGGTGGGAGGCCACCCAGAAATGGAAACTCAGACCAAGGACAGTCAGGTCAAGAATGTTAGAGCAAGTTCTGACACTAAGGGAGGTGGTCCTGGCCAAGGACATGTATTTATCTTATTTTGAGGGCAGTGGTATCCCTATTTTGCAGTCATTCACATCAGGCTGTTTTAGCTTGATGCCTTAAACATTTAAAAAATATATGCTCTAGTTAAGGCTCACCAAGTAAACTGATTATAACTGGCCTTCTCAGGTAATTCAATTTGAGGAAGAGAAGACACTGGTCAGAGGATGTAAATTGTCTAGGTAGTCCTTTCTCTTTGTAAATGAGAAAGCCACCACACTCGGAGAAAATTTAGATATCTGAGTATAAGTCTGAGAGCCATACCTGCCTTTATCATGAATTTAGTCAATATCCAAAATATAATTCTGGCATTATCCTATCCAGTTATCCATTTTCCACCAAGTCATCACACCCACAATGTGCTGCCCTTGTTGGTTCTCGGCCCTTGATTAAGCCCATCTCTCTGCCCCCAATTTCCAAAAGCTTTCCAAAGCTCACCCAAAACTGTGCTCCAGAATTGGCAAATTCCCTTCTAGCCTCAGGTGCTGCACTGAAATTCTCATCTTTCTTCTTGCAAACTGAAGCACTAGCTTTTTCTGACAATACCAAGCCTCTTTTACCCTCCCACTAAGTGGCTGTATTTTCTACCCTCCTCCCCTGCACTTCAGGACTCAGAGGTGGAGTGCTGTCCTCCTTAATCCTCATTACTAGTCTTAGAGTATTAAGTCACTACTTCCCTCAAGCCTTAGCACTGATTTTCACATTCTTGTTATGCCTGGAGTTTGGTCCACAAGTTTGATTTCTTTTGATTAGATCCCAGTTCAAAGGTAAAAAGTGTGTTTTCTGAATGAACAACTGGAGGAAACTATGCCTATGAAACAAACAACTGTTTAGAAATGTAATTTTTCAGAGAGATTTTCTTTTGTAGATATTTAAAAACATTTTTAGTTGATTATACACAATTTTAAATCATTAAGATGTGAGAACTGAGTTTTTAATACCTTTGATAATGTGGGCTCATATATTTGGGGCATGGCAGAGTCTTTAACAAAAGCAGGAAATCAGAGTGCTCAGAATATTGTGTGTGTGTGTATGTGTTGTTTTTGTTTTTGTTTGAAATGGCTTGAATTCTATTTACTAGGTTTATGGAAAACATTGTGTCTTGATATTGTACAGAGCATTGGGATATATCCTACTCTTCTTTAAGTTTCATACATTCTACCTGCACTTATACTACCCTTCCTAGGAATGGAGATAAAATATACTTGAGGTAAAAAGATAAATTAAGGTAGAGAATTAAAACATTTTCACTAGCAATTATATAGATGTTTGAACTCATATGGCTTTTTTCTCTGTCTTCCATGCTAAATAGACTTGTCTTTTCTTTACTATGAATTCATTAAAATCATTTGTTTTGATCTCTTTGCGGGGTGTATGTGTGAAGTATTGACATGTGAACATTAACATTTCTGAGTAAAAATAATGTTTTCCATAAACAGAAATAAATTTCCATATACCACATTCCTTTTTTCAAATAATGAATACGTAGCTTCTTTAAATATATGCACTGGAGTATAAGCGATGGACTTTAAAGGTTACATTGAAGAAAGCATATGATGTCACCATCCTGCAGTTGTGTCATATGCTATGTCTTCCTACGAAATTTCTACTTGAATTTCATGTTGTAATAATCCTGTGATCATATTATTAATATTTTATGTGATCTAAATATACCATACATAAATTATGTTGACTGGAGGAAAATCAGAAAATTTCCTTTGTGAAAATGTAGACATGTTAATGTGCTAAAAACTTATATAAGTATTCAATAAATATTTCTTTACAGATGAATTAAAAAGTCAGCCAAGGTCTCTTGCAGCAAGATGTTATATGGCTTGGGTAGGAAAAAAAATCCAGAATCTTCTTGTAATTGTATGAGTCCATAAAGGATAATATATGTATAAAAACTCTGAACACATACAGACAGACTATATTTCATAAAATGTGCTCTATTTCCCATAAAAATCAATTCTCTTCCGTTTTCAGACCAAAAGGAAAGCCACAACAATAGCTAGCTTGCCAGTTTGCTTGTTAATGCCTTACATGATGTCTTTTAATTTCAACTTCAATCTTTTGGAAGTAGACTTATTATCTCCATTGAACAGATCAAGAAACTGAGGCTTCAACTAATTGGCTCAAGGTTAAATCACCACTATGGCATGGCCAA